CCTCCCCCCTCCCCCCTCTCGATAAGGCTGTGGGGGAAAGGGCTGTGGGGGACTTAGTGGAGCTGAGGGTGCGTGTGCGTGTGCGTGTGTCTTCCCCCCCTCCCCACCTCGTACCGCAGGTACTTGTCGGGGTGAGTGGTGAAGTCCACGGCTGTGTAACGGTCCCAGAACTCGCCGTACAGAGGCAGCAGGTCCTGCCGGGGAACCCAGGATGGGGGGGGGGAGGTAAAGGGGGATGGGAAGGGGGTAGATGTATGTATGTATGTACGTATGGTATGGGATGCAGAACCCAAAGTCATAAAAGGAAACGACTACTGCCCAGCGACGCATCCAAATCAGCGAGCTGCGGAAGGAGGTCAAGGGACAGGGAGGCAAGGTGTGTGTGTGTGGTTGTGTATGTGTGGAACTAGGCAGTGCTATGGTACGGCGGACCAGGCTAGCTAGCTGGCTAAGGGGAAGGGGGCCTTATCCAGAGCCACAACAGGGAGAGGGAACTGCGGGCTGGTGGGTGGTTGGGTGGGTTGGGGAGACGGAGGTGAAGAGAGCGGTGATGGAGATCTCAACACCAGGACGGCCAACGACGTCAAACGACGTCAAACGACGTCAAACGACGGCAAACGACGCTCTCACCCCTGACACGTGAAACCCAACCAAGCAAAGAAGCACATTTCCCTCGGGGGCCCCCGTTCCGCATTACGATACACAACCCCCCCGTCCTAGCTGCCGCTCAACACATCCAAACCCACTGCTATCCCCCCTCCCTCCACGACCTATCCCCCTTCTTCCCCGTCTCCCCTTCTTCTCCTTTAGGGGACTCCGTCCCCTCTTTCCCCACTTCGGCCCAAGCACACACAGATACGGGGCTACCTGCAAAACAAAACAAGACAAGAAGTTAAGTATTGCCGTACCGGCCGTACTGGCCGGGTACGTACTGGCCGCGTACTGACCCGCATAAAACATGTGTTTTTGCCCCACAACGGCAAAATCCATCAGGAGGGCGAACAGGCAACCAGAACCTAGAAAAGTTGAGGTCCATTTCTACGTACGACAAGACTCTGCGCGAGTTCTAATTAGAATATTCTAATGAATATTCTGTGCCCAAAGATATTACCTCACGTCAGCTGCCTCTCCCACTCTAAAACACTAAGTTTCTCGCATTTCCATATTACTAGGGGGCACTCCCGGGCTACCTGCTTGATAACATTGCGTACAGCCGTCTTGAGCTTGGCGTCCGGAATGGTCCAAGCAGACTGGCAAACAGGGGGAGAGGGGCACAGGGAGTGTGTGTTTGTGTTCGTGTTCGTGTGTATGTACGTCCGGGTCGGAGAACCAGCCCAGGACGACGGGGGGCGGGGGGTTATTTATGTGGTATATATATATATGCTTGGTGAGAGAGGGGGTTGGGTGGGGGGGGGGGAGCGTGTGTCCCGCGATAGAGGGGCGTGTGTACGGATAACACTATTGCATTTTGCATTACTGTTTTTTTTTCTGTTTCCTGCATTTTTGTGTTTTTGGTATACCATGATCCTATCAGATGAGGGGGGGGAGGGAGAGGTGTTACCGCCGTAGGGCCCCCGCCTTCGCACTGCACACCTGCTGCTTGAAGATAGAGTCCAGTTGTGAGTTGATTTTGGCGAATTTGGATTTGAGCCAGGCCTTGAAGCGACCTGGATCCGAGGGCTCCGCGTCCACCTGCCCAGCGCAGCGCAGCGCAGCAGAGGAGGCGAGGTGAGGTGGGGGTGGGTGGGGTGGGGTGGGTGGGAGGGAGGGAGAGAGGACGATTCGCAGCAAAGAAGACATTTCTACGGATGGTAAGAGTTCGTGAGGTACGGTTTCCTCTAACCAGCAGTCCCACAAGCGGTTCCGTGGAGTGAGCCAAAGGCGTGCCTGTGTATGTGTGTATGTGCGTGTGTGTGGCTGTGTGTGTGTGGCTGTGCGTGTGTGTTTATAAGGTTTAGACGGATAGAGTGTGGCAGTGGCAGTGGAAGCGTCAGTGGCGCGAACTGGATCCCTTCCTTTCCGCCCCACCGCAATTTCTCCCCAGCCCCTCCCCTGCCCTCCCCCTGTTTAACCTTCCTCGCTTCATCCAGAAAAACACATACACGCACACAAACACACACATCTACACCCCCGCCGCGCGGCGCAACACTGACGCCTCAAGGGCCCCCAGCCTGCGTGCCGCATTCCATTAAAACACACATACACACGCGTCCTCCTCCTTTACGGCAGTCCGCCGCTCCGTTAAGACCCCCACGCACACACCGGGGCCCCCCCCGCCCTCCTCCCTCACCTCCGTCACCAGCACTCCCTCCAGTACGGCAACGAGGGGCCGCCAGGTCTTATCCTGGTAGGAGGCGCCATAGTGCTCAACGATGTCCTTATGGCGCTCCACCCAAGCAAGGCCCAATACGCCCAGACTGGCGGAGGCGGCGGAGGCGGGGGCGCTGGGAGGTGCAGCGGCGGCGGAGCCGCCGTCGCCGTTGTCGGAGGCGGAGCCTCCGGCGCCGCCGCCGCGGCGGCGGCCACTTTGCCTCGCTGTTGCGGTTCTTGTTGTTTTGGTGCTGGTGGGATCTTCCATGTCATCGGGCGGGGGATTACTGCCGAGCTGCTTCGGTTGTTGACCTTGTTGTTGTTGTTGCGTTTGATTGTCGGCTGTGTGTGCGAAAGCGGGCATGTGGGGGCATGTAGGGCCGGGGGGGCCGTGTAACCTCTCTCAGGATCTTGAGGTTGCTGGTGCAAAGCGGATGCGGAGCCGGGGGTTGAAGAGTGGTGGCGGGCAGGCTGCCCCATACTCGCCCGGCGGCTCCACCGCCATGCAAGACCTCTTGCCACACAAATTCTCAACCCCTACACCCCTCCCTGCCCCCTTACCCAATCTCTCATTCCCAAACTCCAGCAGTTGATGAAGCTCGTAGGTACAGGAGTTGATATGCCTTTGCTGCTTCTTGCATCATCATCATCATCATCATCATCATGGACTTATTCCCCCTCCCCCTCCCCCCCCTTTCCCTCTCCTCCCCCTCCTCCTCCCCCTCCCCCTCCTCCTCCTCCCCCTCCTCCTCCTCCCCCCCACCCCCCCCTCCCCCCGTCCTACCGGCCGCCGCGTGCTCCACCGTCCACACCATGTAATGCACGTTGTTCATGAGGAACAGGTCACCTAGCGCCGGAACCTTGTACGACCGGGCCTTGGCTTCCAGGGCCTGATGGGCGGTGACAAGGGGTGTGAGGGAAAATGGGATAAAAGGCAGGGAGCCGGGTAATGTGTGTGTATATTTGTGTGTGTGTGTGTGGCTCGGTCGCATACGGTTCAGAAGAAAACAGATGGGAGGGAGGAGGGGGGACTGTGGGGAAGCGTTTAAGGGAAGTTTGTTTGCAGACAGACAGACAGACGGACAGACAGACAGAGATACGCGCCTGCGTGCCTGTGTATGTGTTGATGCTAGATAGGAAGGAGCCCGAAAAGTGGAAATCGTCTGTTTGTCTGTCTGTATGCATGTATGTCAGTATCCCCCCCCCCGCCCACACCTCCAGCAGCCTCATTAGGATCTTCATGGTGGAGGAGCCAGCGGCGGCAGCGGCGGCCGCCTCACTGCTCGGCCCCCCTGGAGCGCCCCCCGGGCCCCCCCCAGCGCCCCCCGCGGAGGACACGCTGCTGGGCCCCCCGGGGGAGAAGAGCAGAGCCAGGGCATTGGGGTGCGTGAACAGACGCTGACGGACGTGCGCGCACGTGGTTTTCGTGGGGGGGGGAAGAAGAGGGAGGGCCGGGGCGGGAGCAGCAAAGGGGGGAAGGACCAGGGGGAATCGTAAGATGAATGATTATAGAGTGCCGACGAGGAGAGGGTGAGAGGGTGTGAAGAAAAGAAAGAGACGCGGGGAGGAAGCCATATTTGGGCCGTAACACGACCAGATCGTGTAGAGGACGGAAAGGAGGTGGTTAAGGTGGTTAAGGTCGTGGACCTGGCCATGTATGTATGTCTGTACATATGCATGCATGTATGTATGTATGTATGTATGTATGTACATATGCATGCATGCATGTATGTATGTATGTATGTATGTATGTATGTATACATGTACTTGCCTACCGAAGCTAGGGGTTTGACCTTCCCCCAGGTCGTTGCTCAACGTCCTTGTCATACACATACACATATACGTACATATATACACATACATACATACATACATACATACACACCGTAAGCACGCTCTGCTGAGCCTCCTTCTCCTAACCCCCCTACTTTTGTGCGCGCGCGTGCGTGTGACATATAAACACAAACACACGCATACGGGACTCCCGCGACTTGTACTTTCACAGCTTTTCCTACCTTAAGGAAGCTCAGTGTGGTAGCGCATATCGGGTGTACGGTGCCGTCCAGCATGGTGAGCTTGGACACGGCCTCAGAGCCGTACGCGCCGGAGCCCTGCAGCCCCCGACTGCCAACACCCTCCTCGAAATCCGCAAACAGCTGAGGGGCGGCAGAGGGGCCGGGCAGCGCGGGGGGGGCCAGGGCGGCGTAGAAGTAGGGGCGGGGTGGGTGCCCCGACAACGAACAGACGATTGCCGAAAAGGATATACCAGAGAGACACAGACGGATATTCCAATATAGGTAGACCAATAATGGTGGTATGGGGAAAGGGCCGGCGGGGGGAGGAAGGGGGACGAGGCCGGGGAAGGATACGTGAAAGTGATGTATGATGTGAGGCGTAGCGAGGAGAGGGGAAAGCTGTAAAATGGGAAGGGAAAGGGAGAAGCAAAGAAGGGGTCGTTTTAACAATGGCAACGAGGGACGGGAGGCGTGTTTTTTCGGTGAATAGGGGGGTATGGAGGGGAAGGGAAAGAGAGGGGGGGGAACATGCAGGTAGGTGTGTATGTGTACGTGTATTGAGGGCCCAATGTGCGTGTGGGAGGGAGGAAATCAGGAAGGTGCTGAGTGGCGGAAGCGCTTCATGATGTCCACGTCCACGGAAGATACGCGAAAGAAGAGATGCAGCAGAAGAGTGCGAACGCGCGTGTGTGTATGTGTTTGTGTGTTTGAGAGAGAGGGAGAGAGAGGGTATGTGTGTGTGTGTGTGTGTATTGACGTCAAGTATTGATAAGTCAACATGTTAGCGGCATGCGGGTTAGGACCTTTTCCCTCCTCCCCCACCGCCGCCACAGAACGCTCCGAAAGCCAGCCGGCCCTGCAAGCCCTCTTCCCATACCCCAAACCCGCTTTTCCCCCCCCCCCCCCGTTTCCCCCCCTCCCCCTCCCCCCCACCTGCCTCGCCGACCTGCCAATCATGACCCCCAGCAGGTGGGCCTCGTTCAGCAAACCCGTACATCGCTCGCGAGCTGATAACAGGTCATCAAGGTACGGCAGAAGATCCTGTATAGGTTGCCACACAGGTCGTACAATACGGGCAAGTAAGGCAGAGACAAATAGACAAATAATAGGATAAGCAGCAATCAGCCAGCAGGGGTGGAACGTTGGAATGGGTATATACGGCATGAGGCCCGAAAACAAACTGGTGCGCAATAAAAAACACGCACACGCACAGACACCGGGGGTTCACGTGGCTGCGTGGTTATCAGCAGTTGTGCTATTATTACTTAAGTTGAGAAAGCATACGCACAAGCCTGGGCCCCTCGGCCTTCCTCCGTTATGCGCTCCTCCTCATTCCCCAACCCCCACCCCAGCCTCCTACCTTCAGCGACTGGTGCATCTGCAGCAGCACAAACAGCCTGTCAGGAGTGCGGGCGGCTCCGCGACCCTCGCACACCGCCTTTCCCACCTGCACATCTCCAACACATACATACATACATACATACATACATACACACACTTTCATACCTTAAACCGACCTAGCAACGCCATCCGAAAGAAAAAGAGTGGAAGGAGTGAGCCGCTCCCATCCGTTCATTCGCTAAACCCCCCTCCACACGAACATTAATCAAAATCATTAGTTAGTTCGTCTTTAGATCTCACATGTTCAGCGGGTTCTGGGGTTCGGGGAAAAAGACACGACACACGGACGAGTGAAGCCGATACCTGATGCAGACGGGGGTCCGGGGGTTGTCGTACAAGCGGATACACACACCCCAGGCAGGTCAAGCCTGTTGTCACCTTGTCCTCGGTGAAACTGCACCGCCAAGGCAGCTCAGGGCCCCGGCCCCGACCCCGGGCTCGACGCGGCCCGCCTAGACCTCCAGTTTTCCACGCGCGCAAACACGCACACACACGCACACACACATACATACGTTTTGAAAACGCACCTGGAGCACCAATCGTAGCGAGCGGCTGATGGTTTCGGAGAATGTGACTTCGTCGTACGGCGAAGGCCACACCTGGAACATGGGGGAAACGAATGACGGTGATAATGACGATATAGTGTAATCATATGATGCAAAGCAAAGAGGAGCACACACACACACACACACACACTCACACACACACACATCTTACGCACCTCACGGAAACAAGCATTCACACGTGCACACGCACAGGCGACTCGAAGGCGACACGGCGCAACACACGCAAAGATTAAGGGTACCTTTCCCCCTCCCCTCCCCTCCCCTCCCCTCCCCCCGAACCCAGCAACCCACGTCTTGAGCCAGTGCCAGCTCCGCCGCCGCCCCCACCAGCAGCACCCGCAGCTGCTGCGCCCAGCCGGCCACCAGCCGCTGAAGCTGGTCTGAGCTGTGCAGGGACAGACCTGAGGGCGGGGCGGAGGGATCCAAACCCACGAGGGCTAAAAGCATGTCCAGGGACCGGCCGCGGGCCTGTAAGGCGGGTGGGAGGAGGGGAGGGGGAGAGGAGGGGAGGGGTGGGGGGAACTATATATATATATACATATATATACGTGTGTGTTTTACACTTTTCTAAGGAGTTGCGTCACCACCCCGCCAAAGGTTCAACAGCCTGGACCCATGCATATACCTGGAGCCCGGAGGCGCTCCAAGGGCGGCACCGCGCACCAGACAACGAAGGGCTGTGCGAAACAAACAACATAAAGATAGATATCAATCACAAAACACACGCAAGGTTAACATTAGTATCCTGCATTTAAGGCAAGACAATGACCCATAGCTATTCAGCCTTATCAGTACGCCTACAGGCGCTATTAGAGACTCTCTTTACCCAGATGCCTCGTGGCTAAGAGGACTGCTGACATTAGCGGATCATCCGCGACCATCAGCACATCCTCCACACCCGGTCCCACCCGAAACCCGACAGCGCATGAGCCCCTGCATGAGCTATTTTTTTTATTTATTTATCATACGCTGGGAAGAACACGCGTTTCGGCCTGCAGATGCGCTGCAAATGCATAGAACAGATAAAAATCAACTACTGCCGACATCAACCACGCCACACCACGCTGCCGCTCCTGAAGGGAGTCATCCGGAACCAATCTTGCCCCCAAATACCAGTTTTGCAGAGAAATGTACGCAGAGATATGTCTTGTGTAACGACAGAAACACGAAAGAACATTCGCAGCAAGAAAGCGACCCCCCCAGGATAAGAAAAGCGTGTTGTTGTTGTTGTTGTTGTTGTTGCTGTTGTTGTTGCTGTTGTTGTTGTTGTTGTTGCTGTTGTTGTTGCTGTTGTTGTTGTTGTTGTTGTTGTTGTTGCGAAGGTGTTGGTCTGGTCGTCGTTAGTAGTGGCAATAAAAAGGAGGTGACCCACGCCGTGTCACACCTGGTCACCCCTGGCCCCCTACCCCCCCCCCACCTGCGCATACGTGTCCAGGCACGTCACATGGCGGCCCCGCAACATGGCCTCCGCCAGTCGGGACACCCGGGCAACCGCGGAGGGGGGTAACAGCTCCAACTCAGGACGTGACAGGCTGTCTGGACGGTACGGCGCAGCCGTGTGTATATGTTCGTATATATGAGTGTGTGTGTGGGGGGGGGGGAGAAAGGGGGAGAGAGGACGGGCGTGCGATGGGAAGGGGTAGGGGAAAGACAAGTCTCGGATCGGTTGGACGGATGAAAGAGGGAACAGTGACTTATGATAAGGTCAGGTAGGGCTCGTGAAAGGTGAAGAGGTAGGAAAAGGAAAACCGGCGCCGGGAGCGAGCGAGGTTGGTTGCACACGCCTTTTCGCGGGTGTCTCGCCAGGGGTCTATCCTTCCTATTCCCTTTAACACTCCTCCCCCCGCGCCGTACACTCGCTCGGGGAGGTCAGACCTGAGGATGTTGTAGCCCCTAACTTGGCCTTCTGATTTTCACTTATTATAGGGGACTTCCTCCCCCAAAGCCGGGAGGATTGTAATAAGAATAACAAAACACGGGTGTTGGGGGGGTTTGTGTTTGTTCGCCTGTTTTTTCCTGCCGGTCCCTCCCCCTTCCTTTCTCTGCTTTGACTTCCGGCATATTGGCGCTTTGAACTCCGGCAGTTGGTAATTTGGGTGGTTTCGCATCGTCATCATCATTATCATCATCATCATCATGTCACAGGCTCTCCCCCTCCTCACTCCCCCTCCTCACTCCCTCTCCCTAACGCGCTTTCCAAGCTCACCCCGAAGGTTCTCGGGAGAAGCCTTCTCCGTCAGCCAGGCGGCTGATGGCAGCCGAGCCGCCCCATGCTGCGCCAGCACAGACGCAAAATCCGCCTCGCAATCCCGCATGGCCCTGTCGTACAGCTCCATTGCATTATCGTACGCCTGCGGCCGCCCCACCATATCCCGTACATACGTCGGTCAACAGGTGTGCGCGAACGCTTCGTTAGGGCGCTTCCGGTCTCTGGGCACACAACCTTTTGCAATCGCCCAACATGGATTTGGCATTCGTTCAATTACTCATCCATGCATTCACTCATCCATACAACCGCCCAGCCCCCTACACAGCTCTCAACGAATCTTCCCTTCCACTTGGCCGCGCTATGTCCTCCTCAAACACATGGGCGAAGTGCGTGCGTGTACCTGTGTGCCTGTGTTTTACCGTGCTCGCAATCTTCTTAGATTGCAAATAAATGTGCTCGTGGGAAAAGGAAGGTGGTAGCGGTGGTGGGATGAGGGTAGGAAGGGGCTTCTCGCTGAGGCGCCGCCCCCCGGTGTCAGGGCCATGCACCCGGTATCAAACTGCACCGCACCTCAGCCAGCCAGATCCCCCCATACCTGCTCCACTGCATTGACGTTTCCTCCGTCCATGTAGGCTTCCAGGCGGCTGAGTGCCTCTTCCAGCCGCCCCACGGCTGCCAGAAACTGCTCCAGCTGCGCCTCATCCCGCCCCGGACCCAGCCGCAACACGCTCTCTACCTGCTCGCGGAAGCGCGGTGAAGGCTGGTTTGGGAAGTCTTGGTACTCAGGCATATGTGGTGTGTGTTTCATGCATCACGCACGACAGGAACTAGGTTACCAGAGGGCGCGTCGCTACGGGTGCAAGCCTTTGGCAAGGAGGTGGCGGTCTATGAGATGAAAGAAATCAAGGGATCCAAAAGGAGATGGCAGGGTCGGGCCGTGTCGGGTATGGAGCAAGATGGCTAAAGAGGGAGAACGCAAACCCAGAGCGCACCGACCTTTCGAGACGCATCGATGTGCAACAGTAATTCACTCGTTTCAGCCTTCACAAGCGTTATGTTTTCTTCCGCCCACGTGAGCGCTGTCGCACGGTCGTGGATAGGCGCCAACTTCCGATTGAGTTCGGACAGCTTTTCTTGCAGGGATTGCAGGACTGCGTCGGTCTCCGTTGTTAGTTGTGCATGAAGCTGTAAGGCCGTGGTGATTTGCTCGGCATGTTGAGCTATGCCTGGCCCCATGAGAGAGGGTTGTTGCAAGGGAGACGTTTCCTTCTGAGTTGACTCACAGGCTACCTATCGATTTCATTCCTACTTAGGATACATTACAGTACGCAACAGTTTGAAGCCTCCACACATTTTACAAACACGAAAGACTACCTGCCCAGGTCGCTTGATTCAAGCCGAAGCACTCATGCCAAAGGGAAAATATTTCTGACGCAAACTGCTGGAGGCCTTTAGCTTCAGATGGAAGAACTGACGGTTCACTGCGCATCTGGGAGTCTTCCAATTTTGCCGTACTTCAAGCTGTCTGTAGGCGGCTGTCCTTAGCGCGTCGCACTTGACCCGATCGGTGTTCACTGTAACAATCGCAATCTGTCCCACATGTCTTGCCGAATAGTAGATAAGACTGGAGAAATCTTACAGCCAGGGTAAGTTAAGCCGAATGGCTGTAGCGCACTGTTTGGCAGCACTGCCCAACGGATCGCTATCCGCTGTCGGGAATACCGTGTGGTCCTCCAGCACATTATAGCCAGCAGGATAATGCCCTCAGGATATGCTCCATCTCTTACGAGAATAAAATCGAGCAAGTTGGGTCCTCGTGCTTCACGCGGAAGCGCAGCGCATCTTCCATGCTAAAGCAAAGCCCTGTAACGACAAACCATGAACAGATCATGTCACCCACTAATGCATAACTGATGATGGTACATTCCAACAGATTAAGGACTTGCTAGAGGACATGCAATGCTTGCCGCACATACTATAACAGTCTCAGGGTAACAGCAGCAACATGCAAACCTGACCCGACGACACAGACTATACGCAGAACCAGGTTGACATGCTGATGGGGCTTTGCAATCGCTCCACCTCATGCGATTATCAACTCTTCTGTCACAGCTGAGCACGCCAACGTAACCGGCTTTCTGATGTACACGCGTGGAGTAGAATATCAACCCACTGCTAAAATGGACATAGGTCAAGTGATGACGCTTGCCTCTCTCTTATGCCATCATCATAACTGAGCATCTGCACCTGCTGTCGCCCGGCACGTCACGCACCGTGCCGTTGCTACCTTTGGCGTCCCGCGTACATGTGAACTTCCTGGATCGGCCGACAACCTAGTCACTACGGCGCAGATCCTTTCCGACGGGCCGTTCAGTCCTTGCATGCAAATGCAACCCGGAACCACCAGACATTTCCAGGTTCGACTTGGAGAAAGGCAAGAATACGGTCGACACGCATCTTGGGCATCGCAGCTTTAACACACTGTCAGTGGTCAGCCGGAGGCTCCATCCTTGTACAGTACAGCGGACCTGGGGCAAACGGAAAACATTGTGATGTGTCCGAACGACGGCAAGCAGGGTTGCAGAGCTTAGAGGTAATGCTGGTCGACATGGCCCAGAAGCTTCGTGGCCCATGAACTAAGCTGAGACAACCCACTACGGCCTCAGCTTTGGTGTACGGTCCCGACGCAAAGTACGTAAATTCTACTAAGTCGTCGTAACTCACCGATTTCTTCAGCAACCCATGGGGAAGCGGCTAGAAGGGTCTGAGTGGAGATCCGTAGGGTCCCACTCGAGAACGACGCCATCAGAGCCGGTCTCCATAAGGCTGTCAGCGGCGAAGCGAGTCTCGGCTTTCACGCGGCGCACAGGAATCGCCACGCAGTACACTGTCCCCAAGCCGGGATCGTCGCTGATTTGAACCTGATCGAAACAGCAAAGGCAGGCGTCGGGCTGCTTATAATGGAAACCAAACGTGCAAGCTATCAGAGGGAGACCATGACGAGCGTGAAGTAAGCTGCGTTGCAATGTATCTTATTAGTGGTTGCTTAGCTTACAAGTTGGCAAGGTCTGAAGGTAGAAAGCGTGCGTGCGAGCCGTATTGCCGTTTTAAACGGTGTTGATAGGTTGCAACATGGAATTAGCTGTCGCGAGTAACGGACCTCAATTGCGTCTTCCGACTCGATATCGACGAAATCTTGAAGTGCTCGTGCGATAGTCTTCTTAAGCTCGCCGAGCGAACCCGGGCTCATGCCGCATCGGTCAGCCACCTGGCACACGGAGGTCCATGCCCATTACCATGACAGAAGGCAACATGGAATAGTCATACATTTATTGGTGGTGCTTGAAAGGGTCCAAGAACTGCTACAATCTGCTAGCGAACCCAAATTCGCAGACCAGCTACCGCTCACCAACACCATTTTAAGCCGCCGCTTGACTTCTTCTTTGGGTGTAACATCCTTAGGTTTTTCCGGGAAGAAAATGTCGAAACAGAGTTGCAGCTTCCGGATGAGGTCGCTGACTGCGTTCCCTGTTGGCCGCGGGGGTCTGACGAAAGTGCCCGCAGCAGTATGAACCGCTGCTCGTGGTAGGTCCTGCTCGTTATAATATGGTGCTCTTTGAGTGACCGGTCCGCGTGCGCTGTGCAAAGTACGAGGCCCAGCTAAAGCTCCATGCCGACTTCTAGCACAAGATGCCTGCAGGAAGCGGCGAGTCGACCAGCCAGAGCTGCAGTGCAGCATTGCTCGGTCCATGCTGGAGTCAACGAAAGATGTAGACTGTTTGTCAAGTTGCCGATTTGGTAAAAGTATTGCGTGACTGTGTGAGATGGTTAAAGTAAAACATACATGCATATAGTCAAAATCTAGGTATAACGGCCACCTTCTTCCTTGGGGCCAACGTTCACAATGGGCAGCGCTGTCCGTTTACTTTTTGTGCAAGCTGTACGGCAAGGATCCAAAACGCCGTAGTATCATGTTAGGACACAGGTCCTTTGGCATTTCTTTGGCATTTACTTACGTGTCCGTCCCTGAAGAGGTTTCATATTATCATTATTATTAGAGCTATTGTAACGCTGACTGTTAGGACACAGCCCTAACTCTGGGCTTTCCTTTACTTCGGCTTCTTGTTTACCTGCTGTCCTCGTTTACAGTATTACATAGCTTTTCATTTGGCTGATCCCAGATCTTCAGGCCGCCGCAGCCTTAAAATAGCCTGACTTTTGCTTAAACTTTCCCTCTCAGCTGCCGAAAAGATCAGGGCTTCAGGCGTAATAGGCCCCGCAACCTCTGCAAGGGTTTTTGGAGGTGGTTGTCCTTGGCCACACGTAGGCCCTTGAGCTGGTGTATTTGGGGTTGAATGGCAACCCTTATTGGCAATGTCCATTTGCGTCGCTGTGTCGTCCACCCCGCATACATGCATCAGCTTAGGGTAGAAGAGCTCTCGCACAGCTGCCATAAGAAATGCCCAGGATTTGCGATGGCGCTATTACATACCCATGTATACTTAGCTGTAGAGAAACCCCAGTTACCTGGCAAGGAAGTCGCTAGCCGAAATGTTATACACGCTTGGTGACTGCATTCGATGGAGGCTTGAGGGTTATTTTTTGTCGGCTAGGACAGGTGCGGATTGCTACAGCAACGCGTCAATGGTACATGTGCAGAAACTACTCCTAAAGGGGGTTGTTGGTGCAAAGCTACCTCCCAATGCGTAACTTCTCGCGGAACCGTCGCAGCTACCATTGCACTATTTTTGGGCATAACTGTTCTTTTGGTTTTGGAACTGATTCGGTAAGCGCACCGCAACACGTGCGCGTGCCTCGTTGGAGGGAGATGAAGGTATGGCTTAAGTAGGACAATCACCTGAACACTTCTGGACAGCGAAGGTTTTCGAAATCTCCCGTTATCTTGGCTTTAATTACTGGCCGCCGAGGGACATAGCAACACAGAGAAGGCACGGATATGTGTGGGACTGGAGTTCTTGGTTGATGCGCTGCTGAAGAAGTTTCGAAGAAGGTTGTTGGCGGATTGGGAACGGCCGGAGATCACAGTGGACTCCCCTGTGTATACTGGGAGGAATGTGAACATGGACAGACCAGGCGTCACCGCCTGTCGCTATAAAATGTGGATGTGAGTAGAATACTCGCCAGAGGATTACAAATCGAAATTAGGGCATCTAAAAGGTGAGTATGCCGAGAGCAGTCCACACTACCCTGATGCATTTTCGCCTTTGCAAGTGGGATCTAGATGTGTCACGGTTCGCACACCAGCCGGGACGTAAGCCACGGGAGGAACCAACATACGGGTTTGTGGAGGGGGCCAGGTAGGAGACGAGCTACACGTGGTGATGGAATGTCTTGCTCACGAGCCGCTAAGGCAAGCAGTTGGTTTCCCTGCGGGTGTACGCATGCGCAACATTGTGGGGTCTTTTGATGCGACGAAGCTGGGAGGCCTACTGATGCAAATTCATAGAGAGCGGAAGGAGATTATACGGGAATACTTTATTTCGGATTACTCAGACTCTAAATATGTGCGCCCCCTGACGGAACCGTTGCAGGGGAGCACATGTTGCTGGCCGATGTTCAGTACCACACGTAACCAAATATCGATACGAAGCCGTCAACTATCGCAGAGCTGTTTGTAAAAACTACTGCGGTTGTGCGCTTATCTTACATCATATATTTCATAAACCGCGATGTACGCATGATCATGTTGCAATTGCAAAAACCTCATGAGGTTGCAACAACCGGCCGTTGCTTGCATGCACCTGCATCGCCAATCACCCTAGCCTCAAGCACATCAAACCGGGTGAATACAGTGCAGCTCGTGGCCCCAGCACGCAGCACAACGCATGCACGCGCCAGCAGCTGGCGCCGCAGCAATCGGCGTAGGGCAACCATGCGCGTGCGGCGCCAAGGACAAGCCCTGGCCTCCCTTACAGCACACTGAACTCCGGGGGCCGCTGCTCCGGCTTTTGCTGACCGGCTTTCTTGCGCTTCTGTTTCTCTTGGGCAGCTGCCGAGCGCGCCTGAGCTTCTGCTTCCAGCGCCACAGCGGCCGCAGACGTATCGCCATCCTCGTTACTTCTCAAAGTGTTAGACGGACGTGGTAGACCAGCCTGGCGGTAGAGGGTGACAGTGAAGCCGATCTGGTGCACGCAGACGCAATCCAAGTATTTCTCCAGAAGTTTGGCTGCGGAACTTCGCTCCAGTCCGCAGCCCTCCCCCAGTTTTACGCGGACCAGAGAATACTTTTGCAAAATGTCAGCGCATGCCCTCAGAAAAGAAGGTGTTATGCCCAGCTGCCCAATTTGTATGTTTATCAGCCGCTTCTCCTTGGCCATGGTTTCCGCCTTGGATCGCCAGGCTTTACGGTCCTTGATGTGCATGGCGTGCTGATACCGAACTGCAGGTGGCGGCCCCAGCTCCGACTCGTTGAATTCCAAGCTAGAACCCAATCCAAGATCCCCATAGTCATCTTCCAAGTGGACCAATGGAGTTTCAGAGGACTCCGACGGCGAAGCGGCGAGAAGTAAACAGCGGCGTTGTTGTCGGCAGATTGATCTTGGTACACCTAAAGTCCCAGTACAGGATAACCCGAGCCTAATTAGCAAGGTAGGAAGCTTTGGAGGACGCGCATGGATGTGTGGCCCGAGAACACCGCCGGCAGAAGGCATCCCATACATTCGATGGACAGATGCGAGTGCCATTGCAACGAAATTCTTTTATATGTATGTCCAAAATTGATTAAGCAGCCTCTCGCACAAATGTGTCCGGTCGTACTTCGCGAATAAAACATCCGTACATCGTCCAAAAATTCCAGGAGCGAATTTTGCCGCGCAGATGCGCGCGTGCGATTCACAAAATGCGCCTGTACAAGTGTATATAAATTTTCTTGGCGGATGAGGACCACGTGCGCCAGCGCCTTGCGCAAGTGGGCATGTTGGCTATAGCCGCACGCGGCATGCATGCTGGACTATTGCCTGGATGCTTTGCAGTAACTGAAAGCACCGAATGCCAACGTCCTAGCTTGCAACTCTGGGCTCGTGAAACTGCCGCGGAAGATGAAGCGGTCGGCAAAGAATCAGCCATAAGGCGCCTGCTTTCGGTAGCGCAGCGCATAATGCACATTGTTCCGACTAAACTCAAGTTACACTCTTACGAAATAAATAATAACAACGCAGAATTAGGTAAAGAGAAGAATCGCGAAAGTCGTTCAGAACCTTGCAAGTAAAATGGATGCCGCTGAGGGCTTGGAACAGCTTTTCGCAGCGCATTCGGCCGTGCCTGCGTTAGCCGTGTTGCAGCTACTACGGAAGGACTTGAGCCAGCAGCAAGCTCAAATTCTGTTTAAGAACCACAGGCATTGTCTTCAGATGGGAACATGTAGTTTTGGTCGGCGCGGGCGAGCAGCGTACGCATTGCGCACAGGTACCGAGGTGCAGCGTCTCAGGCTGGATTTCAGCCAACAAAGCCTCAAGAGCTGCTGCACAACCACCGGTGTGTCTTCAGTTGGGCACGTGTAGTTTTGGTCGGCGGGGTCGAGCATCGTATGCATTGCGCACAGAAACCAAGGTGCAGCATCTCTGTAACATCGCCAACATATCCGGTACGCGGTGGCAGGCTTGCCGAGCACGAAATGAAGGGGGGTCGCATCTCACCATTCAACTAAGCATGCATGTGCTCGGTTGAATGCTCGGTAGCATGCGAGTTTACCTATCAGGATGTTTGTTTGCATATATCCCTCCAAGCGAGAGGGCTTGGACCTATGCTGATGTTCGTTACAAGAAGTGAACTGAGGACTGATGCTACACGTCATGTATACGCGTTGCTTAGCTTGCAACGAGACGCGCCCACGATGAAAGCTTCAGCTACACTCACAATACATTATACTGCTACACTATTCTCTCCAGTCCTACCACATTATATTTCACCGACGTACTTCCGCACCTTCCACATCACCATACGTGCTTTGGAAACGCGGGCAGCTGCTTCACAAGGGCCCCCATCTTTTTGCTTCTATGCAGCTGTCTTATGAGACCGAAAGTTTTAGGAGTGCGACTATAAGCTGTACGGCAGCTCTGGGGAAATGACCCGTCAATTATAAAGCAAGCAATGCGCTTTCCAACTCGCTACAGGTATGTGAAAGGATCTCGTCCCTTGGCAAAGGCGTAGAGGCTGGCATGGATGACTCCCCGGAACAGCTGCCTGAAGGTTGATACGCAAGCCGCCGTTAGGACAGGCGAGGCTGTGCGTGCATCCCATTATCTGTCGTTAGCCAGGCGTCCTAGCCAGTAAGGACTGCCTGCCTAGGGCCTATCTGCATTTTGAACTTGCCAGTCTGCGCCCATAAGGACGCCGGGAGCAGACTGGCTGAGAACCCATTTGGAACCTTATGTCCATCTCTCAGAATCTCACACAGGGGACTGTAGAGCAAGCACCCGATCACACCCGCCTAACAAACAGCAGGGCGGGCAGGATGGTACGTAGGGCTCTGACACAGTTGCTAACGATTAAGAAAGGATTGACAACGCCAATAGCGACGCCAGCTCGAACCGACTTGAGCCGCCACCAAAACGCATCCCACTCCGAACAGGAGCTTACCACGATAACCACAGCAATGAACTAACCACAGACTCCTTTGTCACAAGAACCTGCCTTCTCTCTGCTGCTCATGCACCGCTGCTAAAGAAGTAAGCCTATGCATGCCGTAGCGGTCGCTGCAATAGTGGCGGAAGGGAACCCAGTCTTTGATCACCTGCTTGTTCTGTGCAGTCGCCGGCGTCAGCTAGTGCCAGCAAAAACCTTATCAAGGAAGGTCTCGGGGTAATAAGGAGTGGCGCTGAAGATCTGGAGGTCTAGGGAGCCCACCACGGCAGTTCACAGCCCTGCCGTGCTTGGGTTATGCATGCTAGTTTGAAACGTTACTTCGCTAGCACTGTATTTGCGAAATGGAACGTTCCACACAAACACATCGTCGTCACTTCGACAGTCTTAAGGTTTTCCTTACGCGACTGGGGGGCCCCGGTTGCGTGGCCCGGAGGTTATGGGACAGGACAGGAAACAGAATTTTGCAGTCTGGCGTTCCCGATGCCACGCGAAAAGTCACTGACCGATAAACTTGGTGGTGTTGGTGGAGGGCTCATCGGTAGGGTGTCAAAGCGGGTGTCCTGTGAATCGTGGTCAAATGCCGGAGATTCCTCCTCAATTGTCTGCCGCTGATTGTTGGGCGTTGCGTCGCATATGGTAGTGCATAACGGCGGGGTACAAACACACACACACAAAAAAAAAAATCACAAACACGCACACACAAAAAAAAACGCGCAGCTTTGCTATTTGAATAGTAACACCTGCTACGAGTCCTGGCGCTGCGGTGGTGACGCGAGGGTGGTGCGTATTGGCCGGGATGCGGGGGTGAATCTAAGCTGTGATTGCCGCCTTGCGTTATGTTATCGCGTTGGCTGGTCGGGACGTGTCGTGTCTACATATCTACATGTCTACAACTAGCCGCCACCGTCGCTTTTTTGCTTGGACCCCTACAGTTTTAGGTAAGATTTATGAACCGAAAATGTTTTGGGACTTCCTTTGTACCGGCATAGGTACTTCATAGGCTGTACAGGTGCGCGCTCCTATCTGACTTTGTTCTACTGCGTTCTATTTCGCAATTGGTCGTGTGCCCATGCGCTGTCAATACCAAGTGTGAGTGGGTTGGAATACTAGAGCGCGTCTTCATACGTTTGTCAAGAAACTGTTAGTCGCCGTTATGACAGGCGTCCAATTGTTCAAAATTTTGCGGCTCCGTTACATTTCTCGCCGATGGTAGTTGCATCTCGTTTAGCCAAGCTTGGCTGCATTATGTACCAACTATTTAACATTGTTGATAACAGCCTTTTTATTTATTAAAGACAGCTTTTTAACTTATTAAAGGCTATCGTATACTTCGGTACTTCTTGGTAGGCAGCCGCCGGATGGGGTGACGACAGGTTTAGCTGTGTCCTTTTCAATCCGAAGCCGATTCGTCTTTGACAGTGCCCATTAATAAAACTAGGCCTCCAGGCAAAGGACGGCAGGGTTGTAGCTGTACTTCCCTGCGTCGAACGGGTACGGGTACTCCTTGAATCATAGGAGCAAGACCTGCTGGCAACAACACGTTGCAGCGTCAACATAACTTGTTATAACTTGCCTATATACAACAGATATTGGCAGACAAGAATGAATTGCCGGTAACAAAAGAACTGGGAGCATTTATCAAATTTGAACCTCAGAATGGCAACAGGGGGTACAGTGCAAGTCACCGGCAAGGAAACCAAGCCGAATGCAGACTGCCGCGTGCGCACTCGTACACCTATGTCCGCACACCTATGTCCGTACACCTATGTCCGCACACCTATGTCCGTACACCTATGTCCGTACACCTATGTCCGCACACCTATGTCCGCACACCTATGTCCGTACACCTATGTCCGCACACCTATGTCCGTACACCTATGTCCGCACACCTATGTCCGTACACCTATGTCCGCTCGCATAACTGCGGCAACGAATTTATTTTGGCCGCAGGCTAGGCTACGGCTGTCAGCAGGAAGGCCACGCTCCGACCGACTGACGCAATAACAAAGCCGCATGTCAACTACAGCCGAAATGATGCTCCAAATCCTGCGCCGTTCATGCAAAGACCAACAACCTCCAAGATCCAATCCAATCGCCGCAGCTCCAAGCGATTTATCGCACTCACTCTCATCGCATGATGAGATCCACCTTCCGCAAACTTTCCTTGTTAGAAAACTCATATCTTAGTTACTTCACAGGACTTCGATGTGCACAATCCCAGACTGAGTTGAGTCGGTTGGTAGGCCGGATTCTCATGTATGTGTGTGTTACATGGTCGTGGGGTGCGTTCCCCGTACCTGCAAACCGCCCAATACGAGCCGAGGGCTCAAGGGGATTCTCATGTCGGCCGACAGCCGAGGCATGTGATCAGACCGCCATATCCTCCTGTAGATCTCCTCCGGCGATAGCGGTCATGCAACCTACGGCTCCATCCGGCGGCAAACCACTGGGAACCCCACATACATGTTGAGCATCTTGCCTTTCTTGGCATCGTGCTCTAAGTTCCGGCAACGTGCGAACGACATGTCGGTCCTGCAGTGTGCCCTGTAAGTATATGTGTCGTCAGTATATATGTCGGTAGCCGCCCCACCGTCGTCCTCTAGCATTTCGCCATCCACATTCTCGCTCCCATCCCAGGTAAAGCGCACGTTTTGTCGATGGCGTCATAAACGCAACATGCGACAGGTCATGCGGTACATGCCGTACTTTACAGCCGGGTTTCGATCCTATGGGTTGCTGTGCGCAGAGCATGGTCGGTGACGAGGTAGCAAGCTAAGCTACCCGAACGTATGCGGGTAAGACCCAGCTTACTTGCGGGCAACTCTCCCCTCTACACCTTAAGCATATGGGGGCAAGGCCTAAAGTGCGACGGCTTGGACATGTATGGCCGGGTCCCTATGTTCATAAACTACTCCTTCGTCACGACATTATAGCGCCATGTACGCACATGTTTTGCAATGCTACAGTCGTATGACGCGACACCTTAACATCGTTTTGGGTGGGAAAAGTAGGTGGGGCCTTGGTTCTCGGGCAGCCCATGGGGGCTCCTGACGAGTCAGTCGGAGCGGGTAACTTAAGATGTGCTGATGCCGGCAAAGTAGTCGTTCCCGTACATCAGCGGCGGTGTTCTCAATTCACGACAGCGCATTCGAACTGACAAGCGAAACCCAATTCAGACGTAACGACTTATGTGCTCCTTCCTACGTATATACATGCATGTTTCAATCCACCTACCTTTGCATGCATGTCTCTCTACCGGCCCGGCTCGAACCATGCTCGTGCTTGTTGTCGGGCTATTCGCTAATTTGCCCGTGCTCATCTTTCCGTGAGCCTTCGCTTTTGACTAGCTATCAGCTGCTGTTGTCAACGGTTGGAGAAGCAACTGCCATACAACCGGCAGTAATTTCCTTATTTGCTTCGCATCTTTTCCATTTCTGGGGTCCTCCTGCCGGTCCACGTCCGTTACATCAACATCAACGTCGAGCGTGGAACCGCCGAGGTGATATCATCTGAAAGATCTTGAGTATTAAATCCTTCTAAATGAACGGTGCGCAGAAGATGATTGGCGGGTGCGGTGAAGACGATTTGCACCCGCCATATACTCTACGTTAGTTTTCGTAAATGTCCTCAACAACCAAATGTACACATGTGATCTGTACTGATTGATTCTGCTGGTTGGTCCCATGGCGCGTGCACCTCCTTGCGTGACTGCCTGCAGGCGATGCGCCGTTATCACTGCTATATTAGGCGACATCTTCCCTCTTCCTCCCTCATCATCCCTTTGGGGGATCTGCCACGTCACTGCGTCCCGTGTATACGCCTAGCAAAGTAGGATGATCATCCTCAAGGCGCTCCAACAACGTGTTCCATTCGTGTGTAGAGCTAAAGGCACATACAGGCGAACTGCTGGCATTGATGCACGCACGCGTACCGCTGAGAAGGCGAGCGCGCCCGTGCACGGACGCCCACATACCGCGCATGCTCCCGATATACCCTAGAAAGAGCGATGGGTTTCACCACCTAGTTGGTAATCCGCGCATCCGTAGGTACGTGAATCAAAGGCTCCGTCGTTAGACGAGAGTTATTCTGGAGGTAATGTCCCAAAGCTAGCGAACGCAGCGAACGCCCACCTGGGTATGTCAGCCCTAGTCAGCTATCAGGGCTCCACGAAGTCCCCAGGTACGATGCTTTCAGCCTTCATGTATGTAAGAAACATTTGGAAGATCAAATTCAGAGCCGTTTGTTGAGGTAGTTCCAGGTCGCAAGATACTGTGCACAACGGACAGACCGACGGGGAGCTTGGTTTGGCGCCGAATCAGACGGCTTACAAGAAAAATGCAGGTTTCTTACTCCGTAGCGCTACGCAAGCTTTAATTTAGCTGTTCATTGAACAACGTTGTTACCGTGCTGGTGAGGTGAGATAATTGGCAGGCGAAAGGAACATCCTGCCGTATGCAACAGGAAGCTTTGCAAGACGCTGCAACAGATATCCGCATGAGTATGCGGATGTGTGAATGCTTAGTATTATTATAAAAGAATATGAATTGATAAGTATGCGAAACCTTGCAGACATTCATAAGATGACTGAGGACAGCGATACGGCAAATCGATACGACAACCTTTGATAATAAGCATGCTTATGCTAATAATCCATCTGTATTGTCTTACGGGGGTTTCCTGCTCATGTTAGTGCTGTGGCGTGTACAGTGTGTAAATACCAGTTCAGCAGCGCCTCAAAAATGGGGCATGCCGTTCTGTACACTGCTAAAGTAATTCTCATTCTGCTTTCGTTCAAGGCCTTTGCCACAAAGCAGATTGTGCTCCGTACGGGTGTTGTCAATTTGCGGTAAGCGTGTGCGGCCTGACCACCTCAGAGCGGAAGCAGGTGCATGAATGCAAAGCACGAGTAAATTCATGGCATAACATAAAGGAGCCGGAAAGGCATTGCACGCAGCCTTTTGCCGTGCGTTAATGCGAGCCAGCAGAGCTCCAACCCAACGCTCCCCAACCCAGTCGTCATTAGCACGGCCGCGTCGGACCCTTGCCTGCTCGCAGGGCAGCCGAGCCTCCGATGGTTGCCTTCATGCCGCCCCCCGACGAGCGGATAATGCCGCCGGAGTTCTTTTTTATTATATCCAGATCCGAACTCTCCATCATGTCCTATGACAATGATTCTCATGCTCGAGAGATCATTCGACGCATAGAGGAGATACCTTTCGCCAGTGTGCTGTCGTACCTCCCAGTCAACAGCCTTCTGGTCTTCGGAGAAGACAGCGCGGTCAACGCAATTAGATTTGACCTCAACACGTCTTGGGTAAGTACGTGATGACATGCATGAATGCACCTTTTACGTCATTTTGCATAAAGTGACATACAGACATGCCACGGGTTGCGGCGGCACAAGGATACGCAGCAGACATTGGCAGCTACCGGCATTTCCAAAATTAGCGATAACAACAGCCGCACGCAGCAGAAGATGTGGTTGAGGCGAACCTAACCTACCTACCTACCTACCTATCTATCCCACCTAACTACCCACTCACGACGTGAGTACGTTTCTACCAAACTAGCCACTCTAGCTGGCTGCTTACGTAACCCACCTACCAACCTGCCTTCCTACCTATGTAACCTACATACTGCTCCATCCACGTAGAGTCCACCATTTTACACACCTATTTGCTATCTACCTATCGTAGCAGCGTAAGACCAGGCGGGAGGGGGAAAGCGAGCTGCGTGCAGGATTGCGGCATGCCCCCAAAACTAATTGTGCGCCCTGCTGGCTAGCAAGCCGGATATGTACATCCAGGGCCACGCATGTGACAGCTGCAGGCAGACAAAGAGTCACCGCGGGAGATGGCCCGCATGGGAATCTGATCCTTCCTTACACCACCTGCGCACGCAATACCCCGGTCACAATTCGTAGTTCAGTTGTCCTCGTCCACAAATGCGTCCAGTAAGGTTGCAAGCCTGCTATATGAGTCTCGTCAAAGTCACGAATACCTCAAATTTCCTTTCGTGCGTTGACTCTGTGCCGCGTCATACGACTGTAGGTAGCATCGACAAAACACTTGCGTACAGCAGACTCACCCCAATGCCTATTCAATCGGTGCCCCTTCCTAAGGACCCCCCCCAATGAAAGTAAACCAATGGATTCCCCGTTACTAATTTCACTTTCATCGGTCATGCAGTGCAGTTATCAGGAGGCACAAAAGATCTCCCCCGAGTTGTTTCCAGTTTTGCGGACAGCACAAGGACTGGTACCAAGCCTCGGCGGTGACATGCTTTTCGTTCTAGAAGGCTTGCTTCCCTTACTGCAGAGGTTAGCCACCGACGCAACCAACCAGCAGCAGCAGGATGCCGATCTTGGCAAGCTACTCGGCAGGATGGTGACACTCAACCAGCCCGTCATTGAGCTCGGTGGCGATAGTTATGACTCTAGCACCGCCAACGCGACCGTACATCGGTACGGCCTGCTTGTGGAAATGGTGCCTGCGGTGACATTGGAGATGCTGCAGTACGCCGCAAATATCTGGCCGGAGGTGCTGGCAGAGAATATGCAGATGTCCGCCGAAGATGTCTGCTGGCCCGTGATATATCCCCCTGAGATTGGTGTCATCTTGTCCGTCTACCTGTGTGAGGAGGTGCGTGCTGCTGCGTGTAGAAGTGGGTGCACATGCACGGTGACAGCGGCACCTACAATCGATGTGCTTACATGCGTCTTCCTTCCTTTCTGTCTGCGTTATCATCATCATGATCTGCACGATGATATACAGACATACCCACGCTTTGCTTCTTGAGTCCACCCATCCTCCCGCCCGGGTAAACACATGTGTAGGATTTACTTATCGGCATTGCATGGTTTGCCAAGCTGGATATTACTCGATCGGTTTACCCCATGATTCGAGAGGAGAACATGGACGTGCTGGCGAGCTCTCTCATGCAAACAGGTATGTATGTATGTCGATGTGCGCATGCGTGTGAGGCAGGGAAAGGCGGAGGCTGGCAGCCCACGTGTACATATGTATGATGTGTGGGATAGGGGGGTCATATCTTCACCCGTGACCGCTACGCGGCGAAACCCTGCCTTCCTCGGTATTTCGGGGCACCTTTATCCAGTCACCCTAGCCGAGTTCTCAGTGGGTCGCTCAGGTTCAGCAGCAGCTACCGACATCCAACGGAATCTGCCGGATCAACGGCGGTCCAACTCCATTCCTGGTCAGCTCGCAGGTCTGCATTATCCCGGGTCACCACCGTCCATCGACTAGGAGCACTTTTACCTTCCACTAATGGAAGGGTTTCTCGACCCTGTCAGGTCTCGATCCCGGAACCTCCGGGGGCATCGGTGTGTGCATTACCAGTAGTGCCTGACCATATGTATGTGTGTATGGTATAAAGGGGCGGTGCACATATGCGCTGCGATGTGGGTAGGGTGTAGAGAGGGGACGCATTCGCAGCTAGCCAGGGCTACGGAGGCAGGAGCAAACGGGCTTTTTGCTTGGGATGGCACGCAGTCCTGGCCCCGGGCAGTTCCCACCGTACACAGTTTCCCTCCGGGCAGCTGATTTACTAGTTAAGCTGGATTCAGCTTCCGGATTCCGGAATTGTGTGCCCGAATAAGACTGGACTTGTTCTAGTAAAGCGGGTTGCTGCATGCGCGCGGCGTACAATGTTCACCGCTGATGATGCTGTGCGTGTATATGCTATGTGGCATGGCAGCATGCACGCGGAAGGCAATGGCGGAAGGCAAGCACCTATCAAAAGCCCACGTACCTTAACACCTCCCGTCAAAGTTATCGCCAGCCAGGTCCAGATCCCGCCCAGTTATTAAGTTGCTTTTCTACCTGAACGGGACATGTATGCCAGGAAACGCTGTGCGCGGTTAAGCATGGGATGTCTGCCAATGAACTTTACTGTAGCAGTGGTGTGTGAATGAGGCCGGCCACACCAACAGGTAAGGATAAAATCATATCGTGTCATAGGGGATGGGTGGGCATTGGGGATGGGTGGGAGATGTATTCGTCTGGAATTGGGATGATGAGTTAAATGCATGTGTGCCGCACCCTACGTGGATCACTTAGTAAGTTTCTTTCCCTTCGTACGTTCGCCCGCCGCTGATGCAGGTCGCCTAAGCCAAGCGCAATACGACATGACAAGCGATATAAACTTTTGGCTGGGGCAACCCATTGAGATGACTAAGGACGAGTGGCCGTATTGGGCAGCGGGACTGCAAGGCCAAGGGGAGATCGTGGGGGTGAGTTATTGACGAACTGATGGCGGAGCAGTTAGGGGGAACCTTAGCGGAGTAATTAGGAAGACCTGTGAGCTAATAATTTAAATGCATCGCGTGGTGAAGCAGGACAAGAGTTGGAGGTGGATGGTTGGGGGAAAGGCTCGGAAAGTGTTACTTGACCGTTGCTGCCAGCCGCCAGAATATCTTCTGCGCGGCATTATCCGAGTAATAGATAAAGGGTTGGGCTACCTTTACGTTCGTAAGTTCGTATTTTCCCAATTAAATCCTCATATATGATTTTTCCCAACCCAGGTGGGAGACTCCGGGGTGGATGTGAGTACTTGCTACATGGAAGACCCCGACTATGCGGGCGAGTATGTGGCTCGCCTGCGAGATCCCTCTCGTGCTCCAACCATCGGCAGCATGGCTTACTGGCGAATCCCAAGTCACCGCAAGATTGCGCAATACGCCTTTAAGCCGAGTAAGCGGGTTGATGCAATCATTCTGTTTTTGTCTGAATTTGCGGCCCGCGTTAATTTGTGCGTGCTACGGCGCTATGACCATAAAGTCGGGCTGCTGTCCGAGTAATTTATCCCTTTTCATACCTCGCAGGTACTTCCTGAATCGTTCGCATTGTGCTCTGTTGTTCAAAATTTACGCAGCCCAGGCATGTACGCATGGTTGATCCCCTACATGTATAATAACCCTTACAATTAAAGGCTGGTCGCGACCTTATATCTGTTTGCAAACCTCGCCATTAATAACACAACCTCCTTCTTCATTCCGTCTGAAACTCCATTGTCCATTTTTATCCATATGGAAAAATAAACGATGGAACGTTCAGGTCTAGGCGACGTATACGATGTTAGCGGCCACGGCACGAAGTGCGCCAGCAGCATCGCCGGCGCGCAGTTGGACGACGTCAGCTCGGATCGCAGCGGCAGCATCCGCCTGGACTTAGCCACTGGGGTGGCACCCGCGGCGCGTCTCAGTGTCGTGGACTTTGGTATTGAAACCAGGCTTTTAATGAATATCGAGCAAGTGGATCTCGAGTATCTACCGGTACGTTGGAGGGTTTGTATGGACGAAGGGCCTGAAGGCGATTATTAGCAATCAAGCCAAGCTATGCATCAGATAACTACCGCGTTGTATTAGCTTCTATGCATGTGTCCAACTGTCGCTGTCCTCGACGTCCTCGGGATTGTGTGTCTGTGCGATTGTATGTCTGTGTTCATGTCTGTATGTGTGTACGCCATGTATGCCTGTAGCTGTAGATGGTACGACACACGTGTCACACGTATCTATATATAATAACGCGTTAAGGCGCTCCGCCAGCATCTTAGGGTTTTTCCATTAGTGGCCAACTACTACAGTGTACCTCCATCTGCGTGTTGTGTATGTGTCTATTCATATATATGTGTGTGTATGGATGTGTGCTTCCATTCCATCGTACGGTGCGTGGCCACGGTAGGGCCCATTGCCTGCAACTAGGCACGCATGCGCTACACGCTCCCTCCAAACGTCGTGTCATGGGGAACTCTAACGTAAAAAATAATTCACATTTTTAAAATGTTTGCATGTCCTGCTGATAAAGCATCTGCTGCTTACTGAGCGATATCCTAACTTCCCGCCTTGTCCTAGGCCTGTTTATAGATATAAATCCAAATGTGGCAGCTGTAGTACGTGCAGTAAAGCGCGCACATCATCTAGCGCTAAGGCGCTCTGCCAGCCTTTTTTCCGCGGCCATCCAGCTACTATACCAAGGCTTAACGCACATATGCACCTTCCTGCTGCCTCTCTATGCGATTCCACTTTACCCGGCTCCCCCCGGCATGCATATGTGTGCAAACGGGTTAACCTCAGGTACATGCGGCTGCGGGCGCCTTCATCACCAGCGACTCCTGGGGGAGCTACGGATTAGGGTACAGCGTCAAGTCTCGAAGTGAGCATTCAATGTTCAGTTCCGGGTTACGAACGGCGTAGATGGATTGATTTGTATATAAGTATCAGTGCTTTAAATGGGTTCGCCACTCCACACTGTCCGCAATAGAATATTATTGCAAAATACGGCCCAACTTTAACGCATTATGTACTGTGACGGTTCGTTATGCATTAGTTACGGCTCAAACGATCCGAGCAGGCTTTCGTATCTATCTGCCCATCGCGACCTTGCAATTGTTTTCGTTGGATTGCCGGACCCGAGCACATGCACGGGGCCCTATGTAATCCTTTGCGCCCTAGCTGTCATGTATCTATCTTCTGTACTCTATACAGCTGGGATCGTGCCATATGCCGCGAAATTCCAAGGTACCTGCCAAGAATTTGGTATATTGCAGATTCTTATTACAGGAACCTATCAACCACAACACATATATATAGTATATATATCATATATATATACTATCATATATATATATCATATATATGATAGTATATATATATGATATACACGACGCTGAAACGCCGTGCTAGCTAGCTAGGGTAGCTCCCATCGCACGCACCCGTTAACTGCGGATATCCTCGCAAAGGGCTGCTGCTGATTATATCCCTCCCTTCCCCCGCACATCAATCACTTCACACCCTGTACCGCACCGGAATGGTGTACTTTCTGTCCACATCCTCAGTGATCCTTTACTTGCTGATGGTGATCCTTGACTTGCCAGCCTTCGACAGGTTCCTGTGGAAGAACCCCGACTTCATTTCGCTCGTCGCGGCTGGAAATTACGGTGAGATGGATGGGGTGGATGCACATTTGTAGTCATTTTTCCTTCCATTTTAAGTTGCACCTGTCTGGGTCGACCGAAAGAACCAGCCTGGGTAGCTCTCTCAATTAGTTCGGCATAGTTGTTTTCTTTTCTCAGGTTGAGTGATTGGATATTCTAAAATAGTCTTTTGGATCTGATTTGCGTTTTTTTATCCATTTTGGACAGCCCTAGACTAGCCCTTGGGCCTCCGGCGTGTATGGGTTCGTTACACCTTCGGAGAGTAACGCAACTCCACAAGGTTTATAAAACACACACACACACACACATACACATACACATACACATACACATACACATACACATACACACACTGCGCAAAATGAAACAAGCAAAGCATACGCGCAAGCGGCGTTCGTTCATCTCAAGGCCTGCAAACTTTGATTCCTAAACCCCCAAAACCCGATAACCCTAAAACCCGCCCTAAGCCATGCAGGCGGGATGGGGTACGCAACCAGCACGATTGCGGCGCCTGCGACCGCAAAAAATGTGGTAGCCGTCGGCGCTGGCTATCGTGCACCGGCATCAGCGAACATTATTGGAGCGTTGTACTTCATCAACAGTACGATACCGGGTACCGGCGGCTCAGATCTCCGTAAGGTGAGCTCTCTAGCCCTGATGTATTCCTCAGTCGCTCATGAGCATCGCCTCTGACGAAATAATTCAGTAATCGCCCGATCAGGGTTGCATCTCCACTTACGTTTCCGCAGATATTAGCATCTGGGTAGCTTTTAAACCCTAGGTTTTAATGAGGCATAAGATCGTGTGCTACAGTTTTTGAGCCGAGCAGTGTCTGGGTCTATCTGTTAGGCTTAGAGAGGGTGGCCCGTTGGCCTCTGGACTATCTTGCTATGGCTACGTACTCGCTGGAGTTACATTTGCCGTTCGTCCAGGAGTAGCTTGGCGGATTATTACATACGCCGCAGCTAAGCACCGCGTGACAGGGCCGCCATCGTCGCACATACGCACAACACTTCATGTAACTCTCCTCCCCCGAGCCTTGCGCGCATCACGTACTGCTGTGTGCGAGGGAACAATTTCAGTCATTGTGTTCCGATCCAGCTTTTTATTGCTCCTCGTTATCAGGTATCGTTACAGCCTAACCATACCGACTCGGCAACACAAAATCCCACGGCCACCAGACCCTACGGCAATTCTCCTTTGCAAAGCCCGACGCCACAACCCATGAAATGTTTTCCCTTCAAGACGGCGGTGAAGCCGGTCCTCAATAGATAGTGCATCGCAAAGGTCCGCCAGCGGACCCCAAAACACTTCAAGCACCTATATATCTGGATAGGTGAAGTTAACATCAAAAAATTGAAACCCCGATAACCGCAATCACACACGCGCACAGCGGGAGAGGCGGCGTGTCCTAGAAACCCAACTGGGGCCCAACCGGGATCTAGGGTCACGTTCCTGCAGCTGGGCACACCTCGTCAGAATGATCTACGCGACGGCAGTTAGGAGACGCGGGCGCGCATGGGCCCCAAATAGACCCAATTGGCAGCTGCCGTACTGCAGATGCGTCTCTGTACGGGGGCTACTGTGTCTGCCCGCAACCGTGCCTGTAACGTTAAATGCCAATGTTTCTCCGCAAGAAGGTGGCATTCCTTCCTTGTCCCCGTCATATAATCCTCGGACGGATAGAAAGTACTTCTTTTAACAACAACTGAAGCGGCCGTACTCATTGTGACTTAGTCGCTGCTGTCGTTGTATCCAATGCACAGCCGGAGCGTGACACTAAATCCGGCCACCGCCCGTGCCCCTGCCTTTGTATGCACGTTTCGTAATAACCCCACTCGTTCAGTTCGTGCCAGAGGAGAATACCGACAGACCTCTGCTGGCCTCGCTCCTCCAGAATGGCACCTTGGTAAGCAAGCAATAATACTGTCTGCTTAAGGGAGGCGTGCAATGGCTGGTGCGCGTCATTAGACGTTGCATGGAAAGCGATTCCGTCCTAAATTGTGTTTTTGTCCCACTACTCACCATTAATGTCTGAAATGGCTACCTTCGTCGGCCCAGGCAAAGGAGGGGTTAGGAAACGCAATTTTGTGCCCCACCCAACAAAAATGAAATAGCTTAAGGAGAGCATACACAATGTGCTCGCTCCTGAAAGTTATTTGGTATCGTCTGGCAGAAACCATGTGCCCCAGGTTCGGCTATAAATACGGCATGCCCTAGGAACCACTTGCCGTAATGCAATATAGAAGTGTTGTTATCTAGATTATGTAAAAAACAATTGCTAGCGGTCACTTAGTAGGGTTTCTGGTTCACATCCGGCGCATGGGACTCTGTCGGTGCATGAAGGCTTGCTCACGCTCATCATGGCGGCAATCCAAACAACAAGGAACAGCATGTACCGTAGGTACTGATTCTCACTTAGGAATCGGCGCGCCTGCGGCTGGTAACGAGTCACGCGCTCACACGCCCAGGCCGAGGCACTACCTTTGCGGCGAGCACAAGGGGCCACCGCAGCGGGCGTTGTTCGGGGCAGAGGGCACTACTAGCCGCCGGGGTTCCGCGGTGGTTCCGGGATTGGGGACGGGGTAAGACAGTGACTAGCGAGGAGTGTTTTGTGAGCACTGTGGATGACCTGCCTAGGATGGGGAACTACCGCGCAACAGAGGGGCAATCCCGGGTTTTCCACATCTTGGTCTTTTCATACGTCCTCAAAGCCTCCCGTATTTAACCTCAACATCATATTCGCCCCTGCTGCCCATCTCAATACCATAACCCTAGCAAGAGCTAGTGCTTGCAGATCCCATCACAGCCTGTGATCCTCTCGACAATGCTGCGGAAGTGGCGGGAAAGGTGGTTCTGGTGGCTCAAGTAAACCGCGTCGACTGCGACTTCGACGTCCAGGGAAGAAACGTGGCCGGGGCCGGCGGTGCAGCCATGATCGTGATAGCTTTCAGCAGCAGCGCGAGCAATCTTGTGCTGTCCCCACCCTACCCAACGGCCGCTGACGGCCTGCCTATGTCCATGATTCTGAGGGTACGTGCACACTATCGAGACGCATGTGACATACTCGCTCTGCACAGCTGTGCTTAAGTTGTACCCATATGTACAGGCTGATTAGATATGCATGGGGGAACATGCGTCCAAGCAACATCAGTTATTTTTTCTTGTCAGTTCTTCGCTGCTGTGCTAAGCACGCACGGCTGTAATTTAGTAAAGAAGCCAATTGGTACAAATGTATGTATGTATGTGCCCGTGTCGGGAGCAGTATACCTTCTTCTGGCTGCTGACCCTAGGAGTGTTGGGACACGCACTCCAAACACACACACACACACACACACACACACACACAATGCTGTGTATGGATCGAGCAATGGATTGATAAATTAATTCATAAAGATAGTGCCGTATACCTGTTGCTGTTTACACGCATACACAGAAAGGCATACATACATACGTACATACATACAGCCATACAGCCAACACATGCCGTCATGTGGGCGCCACCAAGTTAGTATGTGTGTTTGGCCACCCAAACAGGTAAGGCATGCTGAGTCAGCCTAAGCCGCGTATACGTGCACGATACGACCAATGTACGGCAACCGTGGATTTCTTGAATTGTGCAAAGCAGTTGGATGATTAAACCCTAATACATGGCACGATATGGTGCATGACCGCGTCGAAGTGTCCGCCATGCATACATAGCAACTGCAGCCTCTTTCATAGACAGTAGAAGTGCAATTACGTGATAATCTGTTCTTCCGCAGAGCGTGGGCAACACCCTGGTCGACCGCAGCAGATACGGCAAGGTCTTCCTGGCCGGCAATACGGTAAGCGGGCTTGCGTCAGGATCAAGCACCGTCATCGTGTAGTGACGTCATGTCCATATAAGCCCCCCGGCTTTTACGGACGGGTCCCCTCACCTGTGCTGAGCTTGCAAGCTGTAGTGCATATACAAATCTTGTAACGCCGTGTAGTGGATAGGTGTTTACCTAGGTCTCACGCACTTATGTTCACACCGCGCGGGCATGGATGTAATGATCTTCCGCATGCGTGTCAAGTACGCCCCATCCCACGGTTTCATTCAGCCTTACGCAGCCATACGCAGCCATACACGCACAGCCAGTTAAGTTTTGAGCAGCTCCCGGCAGGAGTTTTTTCCCCTTTGGCCACTCTCGCCCCCGCTCCTTTTTGCCACTTCACCAGTAACGAACCCACCGTCCCTTCGGAATCTGTAGAGGGCGATTGTTACTCGCTCCCTTCACACTCAAACACGGCCCAGGCGATCCGGAGTGCATGCAAATAAACTCGCTGCTGCTGCCTGCTGTACTTATGTCTTCCATATCGGCCGCTCGCTCGCTCTGTCCGTACCTGACGGCGCCATCTCATCATCAATCCGCCACGCAGGTCCGTTTGGATTTGGATGTCGTTGCCGACTTCAGCTCCTGGGGGCCCACGGATCCCGGTAAGCAAGTGCGCGCTCGCTTGCTGGGTTGCAGGTGTAACGAAACGGAGGGATGAATATATGCATGCGGATGGTGCTGCGTGGGGTGCATGGAAGGGAGGGAAAGGGAGGGAGTCGGGTGGCAAGGGGACCTTACGTGCTAAGCTAACAAGTGCAGGGAAACAGGTGAGTAGGTGCTATTTATCCAGAGACCAACTGTATGATAAGTGCGTGCGCATGCCCTAGCTACCTGCATCATCTACACATGCATACAGGCGTTGTATGGCTCCTGCGCCCCGTCGCTTTGGCGTCGTTTGGGCATCTGTCGAAAGCTACATTAACCTTAGAATATAGTAAGCTATAAAAAACTTAATCGCAATAGCGGCACGGTGTAGAAATTACGAATCGCAACCGCTAATTGTACGGATCGCTTTCCGTCACGACATCATATCGTGACGGTACGATAATCATAGGGTTTGCTGGTTTGCCTTGTGTCGTCGTCAATCTATCCTACGCCATTCCTTGCTTAATTGCATGAACTCATCGCATGTATCCATATGCTTGTGCGGCAATAACACCGGCACCTGAAACTACGATAACCACCGTTTGCCTCTATCTACATATAAAATACATAGATTCTCGTCCCTGTTGTACCCACTGCGATGCGTGCTACACCGACCTCCCCGTCGTCCTTGGCCCCAAAACCCATTTCTGCCGCACGTTCACTCCACCCAGATGGGCGGATCAAGCCTGACATCATTGCACCTGGTAGGTTCGCTGCAGCACTGCTGCATGGCAGATGGCCACTAGCGTGCCGGCTGGGCTCGTTTCGGTTGTTTCGGTTACGGCGTGCGGTTTCACAATAATGGCTAGCTAGTTCTAGCTGTTAGCTAGGTATATAATTTGAAGAGGTTGCAGCAGCAAAGTTTTGGACGAGTTTTAGGGTTCCAAGACGCGCTAGAAAGCTGCAAGCTATATCGCTACAGTAAAAAAGTGCGTAATAATTACGCGCTCGTGTAACGTTTACGTGCGGCTAGGTGCGCGCTACCCTTGCAAACACGCACGTACTGAGCGTGTCCGCGTCTACGACAAGCAAGGAAACGGCATGCATAAGCATACGCAATGAGGAGACGGAGGGAATGCCGCCGCGTCCCCCTGCTGCTTTCATGCATCCTTTCCTTTTCATGCATGTCCCTCTGGGTACATTTTGCAAACGCAGGCGATGGCGGACTCTTCGCTGGGGTTGCCGGTTCAGGTGAGCTGTCAGTAGGCATTATGAGTAGCTTCGCCTGAAGTCAGTAATATGGAGGAGTGTCACACTCTCTAAACTACCTATTTTCCCCAGGCCTATCTACCTGGCATGAATTTACCATGGCACGAATTTAGCATGGCACGAATTTATGCCACTTTGAGCCATGACCTTTACACTCCTTAAAATGAATTTTAACCATTATTATACCGTGGCAAGGTCTATGGACTATAAGACGCTACATTCCCACGCACACATACATCTGAGGTGATGGTCTAATTTGTATACTAGTCTCTACTGCAGTGCACGGCCAGCTGGCCCGATGGCTCTACTCTTCGGGAGTCTGGAGCCCACTGTAACAACCACACACACACATACGCGGCATGTACCAAGGAAATAATAATGGCACAGCGTAATGCAACACGACATTGTGCAACACAAACAGCGTAGCATAGCATAACACAGCGCTGCATCGTACACCATAGTACAACCATAGTACATGCAGTGGCTGTCGTACAGTACGACACACCATCAATAATACACGAGAGTGCGCATTCAACGCGCGGCAAGTTGTTCCCAGCGCGGCCAGCTACTGCAATACAATAAAGTACGATGCACTGCACCAGAGCCAAGCACAACATAGCATGCAAAAGGAAATGTGCTTGAACTCGTAGCTCGTCAACTAGTAGCAAGTTAGTTATGTTTCCCTTAATCCCATATACACGGAAATCTGTTTATAGGTTCTAGTTCTACGCAAACATGCGTAATGTGTCGTGATTATCACTGCATACACATCAAAAACAGCCGCAGTAACAGTAAGCAACGAAACCCTGCCTGCCCTTTCTCTGTACTACCGTATCGCAGGAGGGGGATGCGAATTTACCAATAACTGGCAGGGGACGTCTGCAGCGACCCCATTGGTGAGTTCTAACTGCTTATTAATGCACCCTGTTAATTGCACACACCTGCTGTATTGCCTTCCGTCCAACCCCAGCAAACTGCATACCCAAAGTGAAATGGAAAGGCTCCGTTTCTGGTTGGGATGCCAAATTGTTACACTTTGGGTCGAACGACATAAGCCAGCTGGCACATCAAAAGAGCGCAATAAAGATGACATTACAAAATAAACAACAATATCGTCTTATATAGCAACACGATTCCGAAATGGCACCCAAGCGTCGTACATCGTGGCGCGCTTCAGAATGGCGCGCTTTATTGTGGCGCGCTTACTGGTTAATAACTAACTTGAATACCTAACACAAAGTGCGCAGGTGGGAGCACTTAATGCGGGCTTGCGTTGCGGAAGCCGGGTTAGTTGGCGTAAGGCCCTTGGGCGATGCAAGCTTTTCGGTTGCTTCGCCACGGCCCGTGTCCTCAGGGCCATTTAAATAGCGCGCTTGGGTTCAGTTCGTTATCTTGTTCTGTTGTTGCGAGGTCCACCCTAAGCGAGCATGATTCGCGCGATCGTCTCATGCATACATCATACTAACATACGCACTAACTAACTGTCATAATACGACTTCAGAAAAGTACCGAGTATCGGCGGACTTCAAAATCCCGTGAGGCACCCAGGATACAACATCATACCGCCTCCAGCTGAGGGCGTCCTTGACCTAGCCCGTCTCAGCGGCGCCCACAGGGCCCATCACTTCCCGCTCAGAACCGCGCCAGCCCGAATTCGAACCCGGGCCGGGACAGGGTTACAAAGTCTACATACCATTTGTTGCGCCATCGGTACTTTCCTGAAGTTGTGATTCAACACTAACTCACAATTTTCTAACCCGCCTGTGGCATTATATATAAGTGGGGGTTTCTGTGCATCCACCACGTTGCAGGCGGCGGGAACGGTAGCTCTCATCCGGCAGTATTTCAGGTAAATCATGGGCTAGGTTTCATGATCAGTTGATAAAGCAAGCAAAATCCTTGCACAGTCCAATGACTGCTGACAGAGAGATGTGCCTAAGCCGGTTGGATCGGATGTAGACCCCTTCCCATTTGCATTAGGGATCCGCATAGGTTAGCTAAGCAAGGAGGGGTGTAAGTTGGCGAACCTTACTTACGACTTGGGCATGCGCATGCGTGATGCGCGATTCGTATATCGTTGACGCCCAGTCTGGTTCGATAGATGGTTGGCTTGTAACTAACTCCATCATCAGGCACTAGGCATGTTTACACGGCGAAAAAACCGGGAAATGCATTATTTAGTAGTACCCTTGTCAGCCGCCAGCTGAACACTTGCTGCAAGCAAATTAGTGAGCTAGTGTTGAGATGCCGAGAGAGAACATTCAGCAGGTGGTACTCGTAGCAGTTCGTAGCGACCGATCCTACCCAGATCGTGCATGCGTGCGCTGAAACATCGCGGTGTATGTGTATACGGTGGTTTGGGGCTGTTGAAAAGTTAGGAATAATGGATTACGACATTCAACAGCGCTATATGCCATTCTGCACACGACGCTGCAGGCGTGGGTGGGTGCGTAGCTGCACTCCGCTGTAATTGGCGTCAGTAAAAATTTGGTCAGCTAGAGGCGGCACTCTCGTATAATAGGTGAGGACGGTCCTCACCTATCAGGAGAGTGTCGTTACAGGTGATTAAATTTGTTACGGACGGGTAGCGTTCCGAAATCAGCCAAAGCCGAATGAAAGGCTGGTACACAGGCAGACAGCCGCAGCCGCCGCAGCAACCATAACTGAACCAGTTAGGTGGTTCGCAACAGAAATGCATGCGTGAGCCTAGCACGTAAGACACCGATCAGGAAGATAACGAAGTATTTATGGCTGCTTTAATAATAATGTACCTGATGGGGTACTTATGTCGGGAGAAAGATGAATGGCGTGACGAATGAAGAACAAATGACAAACCTGCCTCCTACTAGATCATTTGGAACACGAAGGGGGATGTGGGAAGTAATAAGCAAACAGTCCCCAAGCGCCCATTATGGCGTTTTTTCCGCATGCAGGCTGGGCTTCTATCCGTACGGCACACCCAATGCAACCCTCTCGACGCCCTTCACACCCTCCGGTATGCTGCTCAAGGTAGGTTACATGCGCGCGCGACGGACCAGCCAGCGGGGAGCTTTCAGTGATCTCGTGCATTCTGACCATTCGTTCACTTTTAATTCACTGACATGCATATTGCATACCCACGCAGCAGGGCAGGGCGCACACCCATTCGACTGGTTTATTACGTACGTTCCAATTAATCTGCTTCTGACATACACTATATGAGATACCCTTTCTGGCTTGATTGCTGCTGCCGTGTCGTCCTCCCAACGTCCCGTAAGTGTTTAATTGCTAATCTTGATTGCTCTCCTCGCGACGGCGCCCCCATGCATGCACCAGGCGGTCTTAATTGTGGGCGCCCGGGCCCTTCAGGTGAGTGTGAGTGTCCTGCTTGGTTATCATCATGTGGTGCGCTGGCTGATTACCGGTTGGATGGGATTGATACAAAATAGTGAATCCTGTGAAAAAATCTATTGAATGATTTCTGGTAGGGCTTACGTGATATCTAGCTGTTGGCCGATGGATAAGGAAGGTTACTCCGGGACCGGAAAATCTGTCGTAGCTTGTATCAGGATGTTGTATCAGCGATGTGAGCTATTTCCCCTACCTTCCGCAGGGTGCGAACTCGAAGCCCCAAAATGCACCAGGAGGGCCCTCCGTTCCGAACGGCAATCAGGGCTGGGGCCATCTGAACATGGCTGGCTCACTGCCATTGGCGGGTTTCACCGACCCACGGGTCCATCTTCAGCTGCTGGACCGCGGAGAGTTCTCCTTCCCAGGGCAGGCTGTGGCGGCCAGTGGCATCGTGGCGACGGGCACAGGGTGAGAGCGTCCTGCCAGTTAGTTAGTATTAGTTGCCCTCGTGTGGAATAAACGAAGTTAGCGCCCTGACGCAAGCGCCGGGAGCCAAGAAGTGGTGAATGTCGCTTAAGCATGGGAGCACGTGACATCCCAGGTAACGGACAAAAAGGCACAACATGTGAAATGCCTTGGGGAGGCGATTTCTCCCAGTGAGTCTCGATCCTGGATCCTGACTCCCCTACAGCCGCATGTTTCCGTGCATAGGCTGCTTAGCAAATCTGACGAGACCGTTTATACCAATAATTCCAAATATCCTTATAATGCACACAGAACTGCAGTCCTCGTTTAGCCCCCCGTTCCGTCGTCTTTGGCAACACTTGAGACCACCACACGGCTTGCACGCAGTCATGAAGGTTACACAGCGGTCATCACCCATGCATGCCAGCTCAGCTTTCAACCTCCGCCCCGTGCCCTTTCTCCCCCTTTCTTCCCCTTTCTTCCCTCGTAGCCCCATCTCCATAGTGTTGACCTACTATGATTACCCAGCTGACAGTAACGCCGGTCAAGCGCTTGTCAACGACCTGGACCTGTTTGTCTATGTCGACGACTGGGAGTACATTGGCAACAACGACGAAAATGCAGGTGCATATACAGCCAATTCATATTTGTGGAAAGTGCCCGACGCTCATATACAAGTGAATGGTGACAGCAGCAATAGGACCCGGGAGGGTTCCGGTGATTTTCCGTTTCTGATAATACTATCATGCGCATCGCCAAGGCCCGTTCCAATCACCTAGTCCATTTCGCGTGTATTATAGCTTGTTTGGGCGCCTGCAGCCAGGGATAATTGTGTTACGGAGGGTCTGATTGAACTGCCGGTGGGTGCTGTCACCAAGCCTAATCAGGCCATCAAAGGCCTTGGGAGGTTCAATGGCTCGCAAAGCTCTCCCATAGCCATCCGAGAAAACCCAAGCACCCCGCGACAAAATCAAGTCCATACCCAACCATCCGTGTTTGCTTGCGTCGGGCACATGACACCATGGCACCTAGCTAACATGTATGCATGTATCGTGTATGGGACAGGGGGGTCATATCTTCATCCTGCGGCCGCTACCCGGCAGACCCTGCCTTCCCCGGTATTTCGGGACACCCTCATCAAGTCACCCTAGCCAACTTCTTAGTGGATCGTGCAGGTTCCGCACTCACTCGCGGGAGTACTAACGGCTTCGAACAAAAATCTGTCGAATAGACGGCGGTGCAACTCGCTGATTATCCCAGGTCACCATCGTCCATCGACCAGGGGCACTTTTATCATCCACCAACGGAAATATTTTCGCTCCCTGACAGGTCTCGATCCCGGAACCTCCGGGGGCATTGGTCCGTGCCCTACCAGTAGTGCCTAGTATGCATGAATGCATATATGCATGTATGCACCTATGTATGCATGCATGAAGGGCCTACGCATGGCTTTAATCCTGAGTTGCATTGCTTGTTGCAAAGAGGGGCACCCGCTGCCAGAGGTCTAGGCGTCTATTGCTCCCTACCCTGACCTCGGGTTTGACCACAATGCGTGCCTGATTTACAGTCCACCCTCCCTTCCCTGGCCGACCTGCCTACCTCGCTCCCCTCTGCCACCTATCCGGCCGCATGATGCAGCTAACCCCGTTGTCGACAGCGTCAACACCGTTGAGCGGGTGCTGCTCACGTCGCCTCCTGCCGGGGCCTCTCTTCACATTGTGGTGGTGGCGTCGAACCTGCCCTCCCTGATATTTGACTCTACCACACCTCAGCGTTGGGCGGTGGCGGTGGTGGGCCACTTCACCGGGAACCTGCAGTCGGAGCTCAACCCCTTCTGGGCAAAGTGGCAGGGCAGGGTGAGTGAAATATTGGCTGATCGAACGAGCTCATAGGCTTACGTGGGCGTTCGTAGTGGGGCGGCTGGGCCAGTGAGGCTCAGCGACAGCGATGCCATTGCTATCCACTTTGGGGGTACGCAGGACTACTCGCCACGCTGCTGGAAGTGTCCATGAGGCATAGCATCCAATTGATGTCTCCTTCCAGTTTACACGAAAGACGGAGTTTTTATGTGTCTCGGGAGGTGCTTCGGAGTGTCGATACACCATGCTAAGTGTGCATTCTATACTGCTTTCTACAAGGCTCGGGTCCTCACGTAGTAGCAGCTATGCCAGCGCGGCGATGATTCGTTAGTTGGAGGGGTCCCTAAGCGGCTGGCGGCAGATGCATAGCGCGTGATGGTTGTGTTCGTGCCCACGGGCACCAGTCTCACCCCTACATTCACTCACACACCCCATTTAAGAAGAGTAATCCTGAATGCATATGCATGGGGAAGCTTGGGGCCTATACATTGTGAAATCTCACGATTTTGAAGTTTTGGGTGGCAAAACGTGCTCGGGAATTGGCAGCCATGCATCACACGTTCATAAGGGGCCAGGCCAGGCCTTCTAGCCTGGGGTACGCGTCGTGTCTGTCGGTTGTGGACATATTTGCTACGGGTGCGGCTTTGCGTGTTTGCTCGGTACGCTTATGATCTTGCCCTGTGCTGCAGATGCCTCCGGAACCTCCAAGTCCAGAGCCGCCGTCTCCGTCCCCTCCACCTCCGGCACCCTCGCCGCCTCGCGCACCCCCCGCGCCCCGTCCGCCACCATCGCCCCGTCCGCCGCCACGACCACCCTCACCGCCGCGACCACCGCCCAGGCCACCGTCGCCCAGGCCCTCCCCTCCTCAGCCGCCCGCTCCACCCTCCCCTCCACCATCGCCTCC